GCGGCGGCGCGCGGCGCCTCCCGCCCCACCGCCACGGGACGGGACGGGACGGGGGGCGATGGCGGCGGCGCGGGCGGCCGCCTCCTCCTCTCTTCCTCCCTCCCGTAACGTCCCTGTCGTTCTCCCCCGCAGCGACAGGACAAGGCCGCGCTCATCGGCGAGACCCGGCGGCGCTTCGAGGCCGAGTTCGTGGCCGGTGAGCGGCGGGGCGCGCGTGGGGCCTGCGGCGCGCGGGCCCCTCTCCCCGCGCCCGTCCCGTCCCCGCGGGTGTCTCCCCCCCGTCTCTGGTGCTTGGCCCCTCTCGGGGTCGGGGTGCGGTTTTGGCTCCTGGGAGACCCGGGTTCTGTCTGGCTTGAGCGCTGGGGCGCCGCGGGGCTCGGTGCTTTGGGGACGCCGAGAGGAGGGAGAGGCCGCCCTGTCCCCTGCCCTTGTGCCCGGGGAGGCCCTTCTGGGCCGGCCTGTGCCATGAACTAGCCCTGCGCTTCGTTAACATCACGGGCTGTCCAGCACCAGCCTCAAGGGCAGCCCCCTCTGCCCGGTCCGTGGAGGGCAGGAGGTGCTGGGGARGCCTGGAGGAAGGAGGGGAGGCTCGAGGGGCTTCCCTTCATTCCCAGGCCCAGGGGGCTTCCCTGCATTCCCAGGCGGATTTGCGTTGCTTGTAATAACAAAGCAGGTAGGAGTCACATGTGCTAACAGCTGTGGCGGGGCCGGATGAGTTTTATTATGAATGTCCAAAGGCATTCCATTACAGACATAGTCCCATCCAGTTCTTAATGCAAATGCGATGAGAGCTTGGCAGGTTAGTGTGAGAATTGCACCTGCCTCCTTTAATGTAAGCCTCAGTCTTCCAGGCTTGTTTTGATGTCAGAAGTTAACAAGACACACGTACCTCTTTTACACAAGAGTTTTGGGCAGTTTTTCTGACTTACCTGCCCTTGGGTATGGCCCATCTCTGGCAAACTTCTGAAGTGCCTTGAGTGTTGCACAGTTGTATCTCGCATGTGGGCCCTACTGGTGTTAATACAGAAGCTGCCTGTGGCCCTGGTTGGAGATGACATGGATTTCTGGSATGATGGTAAAATTACTGGAAAAGTATCTTGGAGAAGAGACCTTGTTGTGTGACATCTCTGTGTGAGTAAAAATGTCTCTGCATTCTTGAAACTTTTCTAAGTTCTGGAGAGAAACAGCATTTTTTTTTTCTGCTATTGATATTTTCAATTAATGCATGTGTTTACCCATGATAGATGATCCATGTTCCTTTGTAATCTATTACACTTGAACTGCACTCATAAAAAAAAAAAATTACTTTAGAAAGCATAAAGCTTCCTTGGGACAGCTGCAGCTGGGAAAAGGGAGCTGTTGCCTCTTCAGCTGAGCTGCTCCCTAGAGTATTGGAGTTCCACAGATTTCTCTAGCTGTTGGGAAGCCTCTGCAGGACTGGTTATAGCGATTCAGCATTGAAAGAAGGAAACACTATTGCAATTGTAGGATAAACTGTAATCCTACTTCTTGGAGCATTTTACACAGTTACTTTCTCAGCCCATTTTGGGATGCTGGTTTAGAACTTTCAGCTTTTTCAAGAAAATGAGGATAAGATTTCTTTGAAATAACATTCTTAAATCTCTCCCTTGAATTTAGGAATTCCATAAACAAACTGGCTGTCATCAGTTGAATGATTCAGTTGAGATGTGGAAAAAAAMCATAGGGATTTAATGTCATTGTGATCCTTCTGCCTTTACTGTGTATGCTCTAAAGTCTACTGAAGAGTTTCCTCATACTTGAAAGGGACATGGAGGTTTCTTTAATAARTAATACAGATACCCCAAGCATATCACTTCCTATATTTTAAGGGTACAAAACATTGATATCAAGTGATTTTATTCCACTTTAAAAGTTAGTGGCGCTCTCGATTGCGTTGCACAGAGTAAACTGGTAGCGTGTGTGCAAGTTTGGTGTTGCCTTGGAACCGCACACCTCTCTGAAGGGAGCCTGGCTCCGGTCACAGGTGAGCTGCAAGCACCAAGGCTTGTGTGAAAGGTCCAGACACCTTTTATTTCTTGAGCTGCAGCCACCGCTGTTTTCTCTTTCCAGTGAGGTAAGCAGTATTTCTGATTGATGGGCAGACACGGTGTTGGTTTGGTGAAGTGCCCCTGCCATGGACCCCATGCTGTGGAACTCATAGCTGAGGGGTTCCCTCTCTGCGGGAGGAGTCACAAGTGGTCATGTGTGCTGTGGTTTTCTTGCAGTAATGTCCTTTCTGTTGTGAAATGAAAACTTAGAGGGCCTTTCAAATCGCTATTTTGTTTGAAATTACTGATTGTCAGAGTAAGGTGTTTTAGGTTAAAGCTAAATATATGAAAAATACAGTAGGTACCTGGTATAGGAAAGCCTAACATTAACTGCCACACCTGATACATGCTGGARTATCTCGAGTAAAAGTTATAACCCRATAATAAACTACAGTYTTAAGAGCCTTCTGTGCAGAGATGGAGAAAATTGCTTTCAACATTTGGAAGCCTAGATATCCGCATTCTGAATGAAACAGCTCTTTCATTTATATGAATAAATGAAACAACTATTTTCATAATTACTTACCACATGGAAAATCTAATGCCACATACAATATGTTAAATATAGTAAGAGATGTATTAAATATAATGCCAGAGAGCCTTATTTTTTTTTGTCCCCTAGATTTGCCAATGTGAGGTTACCCATGTGAGATCTTGTCTGAAAAACTGTGTTTTAGGTTAACTGAGATTTTTTTTTCTTTTTTTTTCCTTTAGTGAATTTTCTAGCTGAATTATGGAAGACAACCTCAGTGTTTATGAAGAATTTCTATATTTGCAGTGTTTTCCCTGCATTCTGTTACTGTAAATATGTTCTTTAAACATTCCTTTTAGTCCAGTGGACAAAAGATATCTAGAGTAGRATTTGAAAAGCATATCATACGTGCAGTTTGGAGTTTAATTTCAGTTTTGCTTGTTTGAGTTCTTTGTGAGATGTTGTTGATTTAAAGGATTTGAGTGGTAACAAGAGCAGTGAGAACAAAAGACTATTTTCCAGGACTAACTCGTGCTAGCAGTTTTTCCTAGTAAACAATATTGTCTTTCATTTCACTTCTTTTTTGCTCCTTAGAGAATTTTGAAAGCTAGCTTTTAGTTTGTGGCCRTTCCTTCTCATTTTTATGTTGCAGTGGAAATTGTTTATGATCAAATCTTACTTACTTTCCCTTTCAAAACATCTGTTRTCTTTATTTTTTTGTCTTTCTTGCCCATAGTCTTTGTTGCTCCCTGTTTGTATCATCTTTTCCTACATATTTTGGACAAAGCTGAATTTCCAGACACAATTTTGCAGCACAGGTTAACCACTTTGCTCTTTGTATAACTAGCTTTAAAGATTACRTTTGTTGATGACCTGGTTTAAACTAATGACAAACTGTATGCTATTACTCCAGTGGGCCACTTGCAAACATGATCTTAGACATATGAGGCATTCTCAGAGAGAGCAGTGGATGTGATTAGTGTAGAAAACTCTAAAGGAAATATTACTGTTCTATCTGCTTGTAGTCTGAAAATGTATTTTTTGCAGATTCTTGGCATTCAGACTGAGAAATGCAAGAAATGTGTAGGAGTGGGATAATAAACACACTTTCATAGAAAAAGATGGTTCTTGAGCTTTCTATTAAAAATATTTTTTTTTACCCTTGTCAGTGTAATCTTTTAGTTCACCACGCTCTCAAGGCGATAGATATTTTCATATTACTTTTTTTTTTTTAACTGAAATAACTCAGTTCTGGGGATGAGGAGGAGGGGAAAGGAATTGTGTTTTGTTTTGTTTTCCTGCTCCATGTGCCTGTATGGCTGATGACCTTTGTTTTCAGTTTTGCAGATTTCCTTGTCCAAGAATTGGAAGCCTGTACCTGAATGCTGTGGTACTTAGTTTAACATGTTAAAAATCAACAGCAAATTGAAATGGATTTTTTTCTTTTTAGTGAGCAGTGCATCCAGTCTGGAGGAGAAAGCAAAGTTGTTATTCGAAGCCCAAGTAAATAATATTATCGATAAAATTCTAAGAGATGTTTGAGACAAACATTAGTCAATGGATAAATAATAGACTCTAATAATAGAGTTCAAGGCCAGAGGAACAATTATGAAAGTTGTCTGACATCTTGCATTATACAGACATAAGCTATAATCCTTATGTCAGCCCCTAGAGCTTCTGGTGAGATGTATTTTAGAAAGTCAGTAGTTAAATGCAAAAGTTTTGCCTAATCGAGAATTTGAGTTGTGCTTTGAATTCCAGTTTACTAATGAAGCTAGGTATTTACAGGTTTTTTTTCTCCACTTACAGGCATGCAGTTGCTATCCCTGCTTCTTAGCTTTGTATAGATTTTTTATTATTTCGTAAAATCTCTTTTCTAGATATTTTTTTTCTTTAGGGCAGATTTGCTGCTTAAATGTTCTCTTGGACATCTTAATGGAGCATAAGTATCCTGCTTGTTTTCTACTCTGGTAAAATTTCTTCTATCTTCTTTTAAAATCTTCTCCAATTTTCATTATTCTTAAAGCATGACTGTCCCGTCCTGTCCCGTCCCTCCTCCCCCCCCCCCGTTCCCCAAAAAAAAAAAAAAAAAAAAAAAAAAAATCCTG